GTCAGACCTGGGTATGTCGGTCCTTGTGACGTCATTCCTGTTGACGTCAAGTAACTAAGTTCTACAGAACAAGTAAGATACAGCGTGAGATAGCATCACGTATAACTCGTCTAAGACCAGGCTTCACGGCGTTTTGCACCGCCCCCTGCTTCTCGATGCTTAGGTACCCATTTAAACAGGCCACGGCACGTTAGCATTTGAGCTTCTGCATTGCCAGATGTAGCTCGCCTCATTTTGTCCACTGAAGTCAGCTCGTACTCATCAACAACGACGTTTCGGACGCTGGTACTCCTCATACTCTTCCGATGGGCATCAAAACATTGCCTTATACCGAAGTATGTCAAATGATGCATAACTTTCCCAGGATCAGATTCAAGGGCGCACTACACCACCCTCATACTTTTAGTTGACTGAGGACATTTAAGCAAGTCACGGCTTATGGTATGCCCCTGCAATACCAGGTACATCTCGCATAAAATGGTATCACATATTTAAGCTTGAAATAAATGAAAACTTCGTGTTTGGGATTGTGTGCATGAATCACTCGTCAAATTAGAGCATCAGTTATCAACATAAATTGATGCAGTCAGGACCTTAATGAACCATAAAATAATTGATTGGCAACAGAAGCAAGGGCACTTATGGATGTACAAATCCAAAGTGCAAACCTGTTTAACAGAACGGATCTGATCCACCGTTAATGACCGTTTTTACATCGCATATGTTTGAGATGCGTAATCTGGCTGATTGTCTATTTAGAGGCTGCTTTATTTCTTTCATTCATTCATTCCTCCCTCCTTCTTACCATTCAGAAATCCCATATGAATCACAATGATATGAATATGATTCGAACAGGAAAAGTGGGTTAGGGGTAAGGATGGAGAATCCGTAAGGTGCTAGATGAAATGACACCCGACATAGAGAGAAAATAAGATATTTTGTGGCTGACATGAGTGATCAAGGCTGGGGAAATCTGACGCACTGATACTGTTCGAAGTTTACGTGATTACGGTCAGTAAAGCTTCGAACTTAGAACCGAGAGGTCCATGGTTCGGGCCACAGTTGAGTCGCTCGCCTTTCTTTCCTCTGATGTTGATAAATGAGTACCACTCTCTGAGGAAGAAATGGAAGACCACGCTTATCATATAGCTGCTGTTGACTCTGCCACTGAAACTAAACACTTCGAGCTGATGGCATTAAGCAGAGATTACCGCTCAGCCATTAACGTCACGAAAAGAATGACACCAGAAATTACTCAATCATGAAGGTACTAGAATGACAGACATTTCGACGGTTGCAAAATTTTCTTACTTTTTCTTTTCCAATCGTTTACATTCATATCATAATTTCTCTTAATTACAGGTCATATTTATCAGTATTACAAATGCCATGGTTACAGTGAGTTACCGCAGCTGCAGTGATTTGGACATGTGATTAGAATAACTTGAGATGTTTGAAAATAGACTACCGATGAATACTTTGCATCATAGATATCCGCTGGCAGACGGAGGATAAAAAAATCTCGAATACCTGGCATTGTCGCTCCATACAGTCTAATCCAAGTAGCAGATGACTGGAACCGGGTAAGGAATCGGTTATATCTGATGCCTTCTGAACCCCAAAGAAGGGATGGAGTGACTTTTTGAATCGAATGATTGTGCTTGCAATAATTTATTTTGTTCCATACCATAATGGGTAGAAGATTGATCGCACTTAATCTGGCCTCTCGCCTCTAACCTCTCCAGCAAGGGTGGCCATGCCAATAACTAACGCTTCCGCTGGCATAGCTTCGAGGGTCTATGAGGCACGCCAAAGCTGCACCTTTGCAGGAGTGTCATACTATGATGCTACTGATTCACATTTATTAGCACATTGGCCTTTTATCTACTGTGATTTCGGAAAGATCAAAGAGGACTTTGCCTCATCGCTGACGTGAATAAACACACAAGTTCTAGATTAAG